TGCTGAATTGAGCAAACTCTGCAAATCTGATTAAATCTCAAACCAGAGCTCTGGATGTTACAAAACAACAGCCTCCTTGCCAACTGGCTGACATGTAATTCATTGCTTTGGTTAGGTGGCCATAAATAAGGGGAATTTCCTTAAGTTTCTGCGTTTGATGGTAAGAGGTAGTGATGTCTGTGGGTGATACTACGGGGAAGGGCTGGGAAGACACGTCACTGGTTTTGTGGGAATCACAGGCTTGGAAGAGGCAGAAGCCAGGAGTGAAATGGGACCCGCAGTGAGGATGGATGAGGGTTGGGAGTGGAGGAGTGAAGGCCATTGTGTAACACCCATTCCAAGCCTTGGTAAGAATGGAGCCATAGGATGAAAAAACCCTGAATCACCAAGCGGGAAGGCAGTTCCCTTTCCAGCTCTCTCAGATTTACCATGATCTCAAAGAGAAAGTCTCAATCTTGTGCTACTATGTCTTTAATACCTCTCAAATGCTTCTAAGAGAAAACAGACCTCAGACCAAGAACCTTTCAACACTGTTGAGCTGGAGTACAATAGCATGGTTTTATTTCTAGCGAATTTATTTTTGTATTACTTTCTATTTATTGCAAGTGATTTTTTTGTTTACAACGGTAATATAAATTTTCCTTTAAGATTAGTCTGAGTTGTAAAGTCAATTTAAAGCAAAAAGTTAAGCAAACAACTTTGCTTATGGGACTCAATTATGGCCAAAAAAAGTGACTATGGTGCCTGAATGACTGAGATTTGGAAAACACTGTCCCAAAGGAAGAAGGTAAAGAGAGTACTCGGAGATCCTGCAGTTGTGGATTTAAAAATTATTCTTTCTCCAATTTCATTCATTCATTCATTTATTTGCTCACCATTCAGCACAAGTGTTTTTTTTTAATATAAATTTATTTATTTATTTATTTTTGGCTGCGTTGGGTCTTCGTTGCGGTGCGTGGGCTTTCTCTAGTTGCGGCGAGCGGGGGCTACTCTTCGTTGCGGTGCGTGGGCTTCTCATCGTGTTGGCTTGTCTTGTTGCGGAGCAAGGGCTCTAGGCACGCGGGCTTCGGTAGTTGTGGCTCGCAGGCTCAGTAGTTGTGGCACACAGGCTTAGTTGCTCCACGGCATGTGGGATCTTCCCGGACCAGGGCTCAAACCCATCTCCCCTGCATTGGCAGGCGGATTCTTAACCACTGTGCCACCAGGGAAGCCCCAAGAGTGTTTTCAAAGAAACCTTTCTCTCATTTTTCTTTTTGACTTTTCAGATTCCAGAAAGAAATTGGAAATTGAAGATTTAAGGAGAGAATGTTGTTTTTAAATATTCTCACTTTCTTCAAAGAACACATGACAAAAACTTAAAAAGGTATTATTAACCAGTAATTTAAATATACATTTAACATTATCAACTGGTATCCCTTAAGGGAACTAATTTTCTAAAGCTATGGATCCTTAAGTGGGTCATAGAATTGACGACAATAGAAAAAGATGAATTAGAGTCAAATCAGTCAGCATACTTTTAGTGCAATAGTAGCTAATCACTCATTTTCATCCCTTTAAATTCCATTTAGTAAGAATCTCTTGCCTTTGTGTTGTTTATTTTTTAAAATTTATTTATTTTTGGCTGCGTTGGGTCTTCGTTGCTGCACGCAGGCTTTTCTCTAGTTATGGCAAGCGGGGGCTACTCTTTGTTGTGGTGCGCGGGCTTCTCGTTACGGTGGTTTCTCCTGTTGTGGAGTACGGGCTCTAGGCGTTCGGGCTTCGGTAGTTGTGGCACACGGGCTCAGTAGTTGTGGCACGTGGGCCCTGAAGCACGTAGGCTTTAGTAGTTGTGGTGCATGGGCTCAGTATTTGTGGCTCGCAGGCTCTAGAGCGCGGGCTCAGTAGTTGTGGTGCATGGGCTTAGTTGCTCCGCGGCATGTGGGATCTTCCCGGACCAGGGCTCGAACCCATGTCCCCTGCGTTGGCAGGCGGATTCTTAACCACCGCGCCACCAGGGAATTCCCTTTCTGTTGTTTAGAATGTTAGAATGTACTGTCTTTTGCTCAATCAGTCAGGTTATGGAAGGAAGGTTACTGTGTGGGGTCCCACTGAGGATCTGTATAAGGCTTGCATTTGGCAACTTGACAGGTAAAAGAAGAAAAAATGCAAGTGTGTCAAAAATCAGGAGACTAGTATGTGACTTTGTGGAAAAAATGTGAGAACCACTAGACCTGAATGTTAACATATGAAACATACACTCATGAAACATACATGTTTAGAGGTCTATGAATTTTTTTTTTTGAGTTCTACAAAAAACATTTAAAACTCTCTCTCCAGAGTGTGTGCATTTTAGATAAAGGACTAAGTGGCCAGTTCAAGGCCTTTCTACTTCCAAGTGTGTGATCCATTTATATCCACAGGATGACTGGAGAATTAAGTGGCTGAGAGATCTTACTCTAAAAGAAAGAAATCAGTGCAATTCTGGGGTAGTGCAGATGAACTCAAGGTATTTTTTTAATACCCAAATAAAAGAGCTTGGGCCCTTGTCCCTACCGAGGCAGGAGGTTCAGCACATGCATGAGGTTTTCAAGGATTTCCAGGGAGATGTTGTCTCCTGGTCATCCATTCCTTGGAATTGTCACCTCTCCCTCTCACCTTCCTTCTGTCCTGCTTCACTCCATAATGGCTGTTGCTGCTCCTTCATTCCCTAAGGTGCTTGTATGTAGCCAACATGGCTGGAGATAAGGAGAGCTGGGGCAGGGGTGTGGGGAGAGCTACAGCACAACCCAGTACAGGCAGTAATGACTGACACATCACTGTTGCCAGGTTCCTGGGCTCTGGCTACCACAGGAGACTTCATGCCGGCTCGCTGTCTCCTCAGGCTGTTTTGTGCTCAGACCCTCTCTCCCACCAACCTCATAGCTCCTCTGCTCCCAGTTCTGGGTGCTGTCCCCTCATAGGGCACGTGGAAACTTCCAATTCCAGTTACCTAATTTGGAAAATATACCTTTGCACCCCTATCCCAGTCTAGGACTGAGGCACACTAAAAAAAAAATAATAATAATTAAGAAGTTTTGTTAAACAATAGTGTTGTCTACCTCTGGTCATCTACCCTAGTGGTGTAACCCACAAGCAGGAGCAATTAAATTATGATTTTTACTTTATTGCGTCTCAGATCAAATATCTTAAGCATGACTCCTTCTTGTTCTAAATAGAGAAATTCCAGGACCGGAGGAAGGGGGAGGGATCTTTCCCATGGCTTTGGTTTTGTTGCTGACTTCCTCTGTCTCTTCAGGGTTTGCACTGAGAGGCTGGCCGTGGATCCTGATTGCCTTTCTGCCAGGAAGGCACATGCAGCCAAAAATGAATTTGGGAAAAGCAGCCACTTGCTCCTGTAACCATGGAAAAGCAGGGCCGCAGTGAGATGGAAATAATCCGGTCAGAGTCGCACTCCTACATCAAATTGTTGAAAGTCAGCCGGGAGCATCTGGTCACTCACGTCCGCAACACTCAGTGTCTTCTGGACAACTTGCTGCAGAATGAGTATTTCTCCACCGAAGACGTGGAGATCGTGTGTGCCTGCCCCACGCAGCCCGACAAGGTGCCGGTGACAGGGATGCCAGCCTTGGTGGCCAGACGGGGCTTCTCCCCATTGACCTGGGTGAAGAGCTTTGGGAGTGCAGTACATTGGGTGGGATTTCCTGTCGGGGCTATATCTACTGCACAGAAATGCTTGAGTTACCAGCTTATTCCACAGTTACGTATTTCACTCCTGTGTTCCTGAAACACAGCAAACTCTTCTGACCTCTCCATTCTCCTTGCTGTGCATATTGGTTCTCAAACAACTTGTTTTCCAGTTCACTTTAAATGAGTGAATTCTTTAAAAAGAATACGAGCGTGAAACACTAGCCGTGCTGCCCAGTCCGTGCCCTTCAACTCGGGAGAGCTGCTCACTGCTGGGAACGGCTCTGAGAACTCCTCTGGTTGAGGAATGGCTGCATCCCAGCCTGGGTCCACGGTAAAGAATCTTCCACACTCCACTGTGGGAAGTCTTCACAGCCCTTAGTTTCACTTTGGCTTTGTGTCATCTTCTGAACAATAGAATGGCAAGACGAAAACCTCCTTCTTGGGGAGAGGAGTGACAGAACTCATTTGTAACATGATCCTGTTGGGCTCAGAAGAGACCAGAAGGGTTTCTGGGAAAAGCACAGTAGAACACTGTTGTGTTTTTTTTCCCCTGAATTTTTAATAAGACAAAAAGCTTTTGTAAGGTACACCTTACACGGGGGTCTGCTGTCCCCTCGCTGTGTGGCCCAGCGCCCATCTCATTATGCCCAACGGGTGACTTTCTCCCCCTCAGCACTCATTCCCAGAGAGCAATAGTGGTAGCTTAAGAGGGAAAAGGAGAAAAGGAGGGAAAGGGAAATTCCAGGGGGGCGCTCGGCTCTAGCTGCGAGTCTGACCTTTCTATTTTTAGGCTCCTGGAAGCCTCTGGTTTCCTAGAGCTGTGCGGTTTGTTTCTTGCTCAGGCGGTCGGTCCATTTTACAGATCCTGGGCATTTGGCTTGTAGCATCTCATACCAGTTGGGTGGACGGTCAAGCTCGAGGCTGTAGTAAGAGCTCAGAGCCCTGCATGGGAGCCTCTCCAGGGGGCAGGCACCCCTAGTGCCGGCTCACACCTTACTGCTTGTGCCGCACTAGGTCCGCAGAATTCTGGACCTGGTGCAGAGCAAGGGCGAGGAGGTGTCCGAGTTCTTCCTCTATGTGCTACAGCGACTCACAGACGCTTACGTGGACCTCAGGCCTTGGCTGTCGGAGATCAGCTTCTCCCCTTCCCAGCTCATTCAGAGCAAAGCTGTTGTCAACACCGATCCAGGTATGAGTCAGTCCCCAGGGAGACCGCAGCCACCAGGCAAGCAAGGCCCCCGGGGCTTGGAAATGCTATCTGTGTGGGTCCAGCAGGGGATATAGGCGGGGCCCACCTTGACTAGCCCTGCCTTCCACGTCAGGCAGCAGGCTCGGCTGCTGTGTTCCTTTTAGAAAGGAGGGCTGGTCCCTGTCACCCTAGTGCAGCCAAGGGAACTGTGATTGAACTGACCACAGATAGCTGGTCTGATTTATGTAGGGAGCCGTGGAAGTGTAGGAATGACCTCTGTTCTGACCCCTTTCTGACTTCCTTTTCTGACCTATCTAGACATTTTAGTGGTTGTACAAATTCAAGTTTGCATTTCTTTCCTCCTTGAAGATCTTTCCAAATTTGATACCAGGCAAAGAATTCTTCTCTCACCCCTGACTGCCAGTCCTTATTTCCAAAGCACCATGGGCCCCTTTTAGTTAAATGATTAGTTCAACAGGTATTTATGATGTACTCAGCATGTGCCAGGGGTACAATAGGGAGCAGACCCAGCTATGGTTCCCGCCCTCAGGGACCTCAGAGGTTAGTGCAGGAGACTGGCGGTAAATAATGACACAAGTGTGTAGTTGCAAATGGTGATAAGGACAACAGCAGTTCAGCGTGCTGAGAGAGCACAACATTGGGACCACAGTATGGTCTGGGGACCAGGGAATCATCTTTCCGTGCCTGTGGTCTCTCCACTTCCAGACAGTTGTTGGCAACATACCAGCACTGAGCTTCCAAACTCTGAGTTTTAAAGAATCCAGTTTGACCTTGGAAACAGAAACAAAGGACAGTGTCCCAGAGTGTCAGGTGTGTATTTAGGGGAAACCAGACCAAGAGACCAGAGTGTCAGGGACAAGCTCTTGCTTCTGCAGTTACCAGCCGGCCACTGCTAGCTTCTTACTGCCCCTGCCCACCTCACTTTGTTACCTTCCCCAAGAAAAAAGGAAAATATTCCTGTGATGAAGAGTTCTTGGCAGAAGACTTCTCCACTGGCTCCTTTACGCAGCTACTGTAACAGCTTTGAAAGTATAATTCACTCTACAAGAAGCCAGATGCAAAAGACTACATATTGTATGAATCCATTTATATGAATGTCCAGAAAAGGCAAATTTATAGAAACGGAAAGCAGATCAGCAGTTTCCTAGGGCCAGGGGTGGGGCAGAGATTGTCTGCAAATGCACTTATGATGCACTTATGATGGAGAGTGTACCCCTGGATTTTAGTGATGTTTGCGTTAACTCTGTAAATTTACTAAAAATCATTGACAACAATACCTGTTGTAAAATAGGTGAATTTATAGTCTGTAAATTTTGCCTTACTAAAAACTGTAAAAAATAGAACTCACTTCACAAATTTTAAGCTGACAACCAAGTGGGACTAGGTTGACGGGAAAGGGTTATAGATGAATCTGGAAATGTGCAAGTGTGTCCAATTTTTGTTAACTGAATTATCATTAAGACCCAAAAGCTATTTAAAGGAATTTTGGAACCCCCTTTTTTTGTCTGGAGTAGTAAGCTCATTTTGTAGCTCGTTTCTGCTGAGAGCATGGCACTTACGTCAGCATGTTACCCCATGTCAGCATATTAATCCATGTACTTCCCTGTAGGCAAGCCCAGGGCTCCCCCTGCGGCACGTGCTGAGCATCAGTGATCCCCAGGCCTCAGCTTTGGAACCAGGGCCGCTGTGCCCTGTGTAGTGTAAGAAGGCCGGTTTTCACTTTAGTTTGCTTACTCAGTTATGGTGAGGCACAGCCCCTTTGTAGTCCATATCAACGTCAACTGTTTTATCTTATCACAAGAAGTTTCGGCATTAGGTTTTATGAGACTATTTGTTGTTCTAAGAGCAGTGTCATAAGCACAAGAAAGGTTAGGGCAATTTCTTCCTCAACGATACAAGTTTCAGTGGGGACTGGCTTGCGCTGTTTGAGCAGGACCCTGGGGTTGGGCTGGGGCAGCAGGGCCACGTGGCCTGGCCGTCACATTTGAGGGGGCTTCAGTTTTTAGCTGGAGTTCAGTGACAACTTGCGCAGAGGAGTAGGGAGCCTGTCTCTGACACTGATCCCAGTTGAATTCTGTCCCCGCTGGCTGGCCAAATCTGAGGTCAGACAGAGGGGTGGAGGCCCAAGGGCCTGCAGATTCTGGAGCACTGGCTCTTTGTATTTGAGGAGTGCTCGCACTTAGCCTGAGCGTCCAGGCTGCGGGTTTGTTTTCCTGTGTGCTTGCTCCTCCGCCTGAGACCTCCCTATTCGGTGCCCTTTCCACCTGTGGGTCTCTCTCCCCACCTACTTCCACCTCTCACCTGGCGCCACTCTCCCTGCAGTGAGCAGATACAGCCAGAAGCTGCGACAGCAACTGGGCCGCGACGCCAAGTTCATCCTGTGCTACGCCCAGAAGGAGGAGCTGCTGCTGGAGGAGATGTACACGGACACCATCGTGGAGCTGGTCAACTTCGGCAACGAGAGCCTGGGCAGCCTGGGCAGCCTGGCCTGCCTCCTGGACCCCTCCACAGGCGTCCTCAACGAGCAGGGCGAGACCATCTTCATCTTCGGCGACGCGGGCGTGGGCAAGTCCATGCTGCTGCAGCGGCTGCAGAGCCTCTGGGCCGCGGGCCAGCTGGACGCTGAGCTCAGGTTCTTCTTCCACTTCCGCTGCCGCACCTTCAGCTGCTTCAAGGAGAGCGCCTCGCTGTGCCTGCGGGACCTGCTCTTCAAGCACTACTGCTACCCGGAGCAGGACCCCGAGGAGGTGTTCGCCTTCCTGCTGCGCTTCCCGCACATGGCCCTCTTCACCTTCGACGGCCTGGACGAGCTTCACTCGGACTTCGACCTGAGCGGCGAGCCCGACACCTCCTCCCCCTGGGAGCCCGCCCACCCCCTGGTCCTGCTGGCCAGCCTGCTCAGCGGGAAGCTGCTCAAGGGGGCGCGCAAGCTGCTCACGGCCCGCACGGGCGTCGAGATCCCGCGGCATCTGCTCTGGAAGAAGGTGCTCCTGCGCGGCTTCTCCCCCAGCCACCTGCGCGCCTACGCTGCGAGGATGTTCCCCGAGCGCGCCGTGCGCCAGCGCCTGCTGGAACAGCTGGAAGCCAACGCCAACCTCTTCAGCCTGTGCGCCGTGCCCCTCTTCTGCTGGATCATCTTCCGGTGCTTCCAGCACTTCTACGACTCCTTCGACGGCTTCCTGCAGCTGCCCAACCGCACGGTGACGCTGACCGACGTTTTCCTGCTGGTCACCGAGGTCCACCTGAACAGGACGCAGCCCACCAGCCTGGTGCAGCGGAACACGCGGAGCCAGACGGAGACCTTCCGCGCCGGCCGGGGCACCCTGCGCTCGCTGGGCCAGGTGGCTCACCGGGGCATGGAGAAGAGCTTCTTTGTCTTCAGCCAGGAGGACGTGCAGGCGTCCGAGGTGCAGGAGGGGGACTTGCAGCTGGGTTTCCTGCGGGCTGTGCCGGAGCTGGGCCTCGGAGGGGACCAGCAGTCCTATGAGTTTTTCCACCTCACCCTCCAGGCCTTCTTTGCTGCCTTTTTTCTGGTGGTGGACGACAAGGTGGGCACTCGGGAGCTGCTTTGCTTCTTCCATGAGTGGGCTCCTCACGGGGACGCAGCAGCTGCGTCCTGCTATCCCCGCTTCCTACCCATCCGGTGCCTGGGGGGCCGCGGCCTGGCCGGGGAAGACCCCTTTAAGAACAAGGATCACTTTCATTTCACCAACCTCTTCCTGTGCGGGCTGCTGTCCAAAGACAAACAGAAACTCCTGCGGCACCTGGTGCCTGCCGCCACCCTGCGGAGAAAGCGCAGGGCCCTGTGGGCTTACCTGTTCGCCAGCCTGCGCTCCCACCTGAAGCACCTGCCCCGAGTTCGGTCTGGGAACTTCAGCCAGGTGCAGGCCATGCCCACCTTCATCTGGATGCTGCGCTGCATCTATGAGACGCAGAGCGAGAAGGTGGGGCAGCTGGCGGCCAGGGGCATCTGCGCCAACTACCTCAAGCTGACCTTCTGCAACGCCTGCTCGGCCGACTGCAGCGCCCTCTCCTTCGTCCTGTACCACTTTCCCAAGCGGCTCGCACTCGACCTGGACAACAACAATCTCAACGACTATGGTGTGCGGGAACTGCAGCCCTGCTTCAGCCGCCTCACCGTCATCAGGTGAGACCTCCAGGTTCCGGGAGCAGCCGGCGGGGCCAGGGCTCAGGGGACACCAGGACTGGCACTGTGGAGCGGGATCTCCTGGATTATCCTGGAACTCACGGCCGGGGGTCTGGGAACATCCAGAGCTTCTCTGTCTCAGGGTGGCAGAGGGTAACGAGAGAAGCTTCGAAGTCAGGTGGACCTGGATGGGCCCCAGCTGGGTGTCCTTGAGCAAAAGTTGCTTAACCTCTTTGAGCTTCAGTGTCCTCATCTGGAAAAGAGATGCTCATATCCTAACAATTACAGTAATAACAATCAGCATTTATTGAGAATGGGTGAAGTGCGTTAAAAATATTCCCTGGTTTAAACCTTTTAACAACACTATCAGGTAGGTACTGTTATCATCTCCATTTTGGCAAACGAGGAAGCAGAGGCACAGAGAAGTTAAGGGGCTCAAGGTCACACAGGTGGGCCATGGTGGAGTCAGAATCGTAAAGAACCTTTTGAGATTCATGTGAGGCTCAGAGATAGCCCGTGAAATGTTTCTGGCACGTGAAAGCTTTATGATGGCAGAAAAAGCAGACTTTGTGCTTTATTAGCGTTAGTTAACTTCCACGAAAAAAGTGGGCAGCCCTGAGCTGCCAGGGGATCTCAGTAAAGAATGCTGACTCTTGATTCGTTTCCTGTTTGATGGTTTAGAGGAAAGAAAAACCAGTCTCCTTTCTTCTATTAGCATTTTCTGTATTAAATACACCTTGTAAATCTCTACGGGGGTTTCAGTTCTCCACTACTTGGCTCATGCATTTCTGAAGAGCAGATGGGATTTGGAACTGATTCCAGGTACCTGTTACACAAGCGCCAGAGCATACATTGTGGGGGAATGGGTGGGATGTAGGGAACCCAGACCTGCCCCGGCCTGGGCATTGGAAAGCCTGGAATTTATTCTCTGAGCTCTCAGCCAGTGACTCTGTTTGTAGCCTCAGGCAACCCTCACACTCAGTGCCTCCCTGTGACCATTTCATATGATGGAAGCTCTGCACCAGTATGGTGGTCCCCAGGTTTGCCTCCAAACCAGCACAAGAGAAGGCAGGAAGAAATGGAAACACTGTGAGCTCCCTGAGGGCATCAGTGAGGATTAGTTTTGGCTGTTAGAGAAAACTCACAATACTGGTGGCTTAGATAAGTTACAGACTTATTTGTCTCTCATGCAAAAATCTAAAGGAGGGCAGTTCCGGGCTGCTGTGAGGTCTCAATGACCATCAAGAGCCCAGGCTCTCTCCTGCTTACTGCTCTGGTGTCCTCAGTACCTGACTACTGTGTCTTGGCCCAAAATGCCTGCTCACGCTCCAGCCATTCAGTTGACATTCTAGTCACCAGGAAGAAGGGCGGGCAAAGGACACACCCCATTCTTTTTTTTTTTTTTTTTTTCTTTTTGTGGTACGCAGGCCTCTCACCGCTGTTGCCTCTCCCGTTGCGGAGCACAGGCTCCGGACGCGCAGGCTTAGCGGCCATGGCTCACGGGCCCAGCCGCTCTGCGGCATGTGGGATCTTCCGGGACCGGGACACGAGCCCATGTCCCCTGCATCGGCAGGCGGACTCTCAACCACTGCACCACCAGGGAAGCCCCCATTCTTTTTTTTTAAATTAATTATATTGTGGTACAGTTGATTTACAGTGTTGTGTTAATTTCTGCTGTGCAGCAAAGTGATTCAGTTATACATACATATATATTCTTTTTCATATTCTTTTCCATTATGGTTTATCACAGGACATTGAATATAGTTCCCTGTGCTATACAGTAGGACCTTGTTGTATATCCTTTCTGTATATAATAGTTTGCATCTGCTAATCCCAAACTCCCAGTCCATCTCTACCTTCCCCACCCTTGGCAGCCACACGTCTATTCTCTATGTCTGTGAGTCTGTTTCTGTTTCGTAGATAAGTTCATTTCTGTCATATTTTAGATTCCACATATAAGTGATGTTATATGGTATTTGAGTTTTTCTTTCTTACTTCACTTAGTATGATAATCTCTAGGTCCATCCACATTGCTGCAAATGGCATTATTTCATTCTTTTCTATGGCTGAAAAGAAAAGCCATAGAAATTGTATATATGTACCACATTTTTTTTTTATATTGGAGTATAGTTAACAATGTTAGTTTCAGGTGTACAGCAAAGTGATTCAGTTATACATATACATGTGTCTGTTTTTTTCAAATTATTTTCCCATTTAGGTTATTACAGCATATTGAGCAGAGTTCCTTGTGCTATACAATAGGTCCTTGTTGGTTATCTGTTTTAGATATGGTAGTGTGTATATGTCAATCCCAAACTCCCAATTCCTCCCTCCCCCGCACCTTTCCCCTTTGGTAACTGTAAGTTCGTTTTCAAAGTCTGTGAGTCTGTTTCTCTTTTGTAAATAAGTTCATTTGTATGTTTTTTTTTAGATTCTGCATGGAAGTGATATCATATGATATTTGTCTTTCTCTTTCTGACTTACTTCACTTAGTACGATAATCTCTGGGTTCATCCATGTTGCTGCAAGTGGCATTATTTCATTTTTTTATGGCTGAGTAGTATTCTATTGTATATATGTACCACATCTTCTTTATCTGTTCATCTGTTGATGGACATTTATGTTGTTTCCATGTCTTGACTATTGTGACTAGTGCTGCTGTGAACACAAGGGCACGTGTATCTTTTTGAGCTGAAGTTTAGGACACACCCCATTCTTTTAAGAAGACTCTTCTCAGCTATTGCTAATGAGACTTTTGCTTAGATCTCACTGGGCAGAACCTAAGCACATGTGCCCAGCTGAAAAATGAGGGGTTCTCTTTCTAAGTAAGCACAGATATTGGGAGTGACTAGTTGGCTCCGCCACCCTGGGATAGTCATGCAGTGTATGTACACACTGTGCCCCAGCACCAAGGTGGGTACCATGAGTGGAGGGGTTCAGAGTGTCTGACGTAATCATTTTGATTGGCCTAAAAATCAAGCTTTTACCTCTTCAGACTTTTACTTATCATAGAGGACAGTGTGTAGTAAGTGGCCCAGTTTGGCCCACGGCTTGTGTTTATAGATAAAGTTTTATTGGAATACAGTCACACTCATTTATTTATATATTGGCTGCTTCACTCTGCAGAGCTGAGTGGTTGCAATAGAGACCAGATGGCCTGCAGAGCTTAAAAATTTGTTATCTAACCCTTTACAGAAAAAAATTGCTGAGCTCTGGTCTGTTCCTTCACCCACCCCTGACCCTCGCTCATCCCTCACGCTCCTCCATCTCTGAGCCTTACTCTGTCCCTCAGACTCACCTAAATAAAGGGGTGGAGAATTGAGAAGATCAGGGTAGTTTGCTTATAGAGAGTACTTGGTAGTAAAAAAAAAATTGTTTTGCATTTTAGCCAAATCAAAATATCCTGCTAGTAGAGGGCTTTCCAAGAGCAATCCCAGTACACGCTGGGCCTTGTCCAGGAGATATCCATCATCCTGAGGCCCTCTTTTCCCGCTCCCTCTTGAAGCCTGGCCTGCTGAAGCAGCATGTGCATTAAAGAGGAGTGGGAGAGTGTGGACCTCTCACACTCTCCCTGACCTGCCTCATCCAGCTGTTTCTCCCTTGCCATTGAACTTCCCGCACAGAACCACACCTCAGGAGCTGTCTCCCTCGATTGACCTTTTCAGGTGGCAAGTCAGGTTTCACACATGCATTTCCAGATGGAAAGGCTCCTGGCATTTTGGGTGGGACAGTTCTTGTGGGGACTGTCCTGCCTTTTGCAGGACCCATAACATTTCTGGCTGCACTTTTAAGATGGTGGAGCGTCCACTCCCCCAGCCTTATGACCACTAAATGCAGCTCTACCCATTTCCAAATCCCACGGCCCCCCGCTGTGCAGTGAGAGCCACACTGACACATAGGCCACTGGCAAATGCAGGATATCAGACGTGGCTGTGTCCACACGTGTCCTTCAGGTGTCCCCTGCTGCCCTTGCTTTGAATCAGGGCTGTGCTGTAGCCTTGCCAATGGACTGGTTCTCATGGGTCTCTCAGCCCTGTGAAGACCAGGCTCTGTAGGGGCCGTGTGACTGGCTGCTATGGCCAGTTCTCTCGGGGGGACATCTATAGCTGGGAAGACTCCAGGACCTATAGACTTGTGCATCCTTGTAGAATTAATGCTCTTTCACAGTGAGCAGCCCCTCTGATTTTGAACTTTCTTTGCTGTTTTTTTCAGACTCAGTGTGAACCAGATCACCGACAGTGGGGTGAAGGTGCTATGTGAAGAGCTGACCAAATACAAAATTCTGACATTTTTAGGGTATGTATTTCTCAAGAACACTGCGACAGCTACATAGTAAGAATACAGAGCAGCAGGAAGTTGCCATTCCTATGGATCACTGGATGGTTGAGACTGATGGCCCCAGGGTACCAGAAAGAGCACTGGACTGGGAGCCAGGAGTCCTGGGTCCTGCTTTTGGCTCGGCTAGCAGCCCACTCTCTGAGCAAGCCAGGAAATCTCACTGAGTCTCAGCCTTCTCATCCCCCTTGTATAACTGAGATCCTAATATAGTCAGATAGTTTTACAGGTGGTGACTGATCGCTCTAATGACAGAATTCCTGGGGATATGTTTTATTGACGTGAGAATACTGTTTATGTGGTAGATTTCACTATGGCGGGTCCATGATCTGTCATCCAGAACCCTTGGGGCAAGACACGAATCAGAAATTAGTGCCCATGCTACCTAGCAGTGACATGACCAGTGGGATCTAGGTCAATACCCCATTTTCAGATACTTTAACATTTCTGCAGCAAAAGGTATAAACATTCAAACCAGTTGGGATAAAGACCATGAACAGCTCCACATCGGTTGCCAAAATAGTTACAAAGAAGTTTGGGTTTTCAGAGCCTTTGGTTTGGGGTTTTGGAGTTTGACAGGAGAGACTGTGGGCCACAGCCCTGCCAGCCCCACGGCTGCTGTTGACTCTCTGAGCTGGAGCCAGTCCGTCAGCTTCCTTGGGCCTCAGTTTTCTCAGCTGTCACATGAGAACACTGAAGCCCTGAATCCCAGGTTGCCTTTTGGCTCTGGAGTTCTGCATGACTGTGGAACACTGGAAACCTGTCTCCTTACCACTTTCAACTCCTTTCTGCCTTATTGTTGAATTGGTGTCAAGTGGTAAAGTGACGAAAAGGTAGACACTGAGTTGGTTCTAATGCTTAGAAACTTTTACCCCTTAAGATGCCAATCGTGATCTTAATCTGAAAATACCCCTCAACTGCCATTTATCGAGCACTTACATGCAAGGGCTTGGGATGATCTCATACGATCCTCATAACAACCCTGCGAGGCAGCTGTAATTCTTACCCCTGTATTACACATGGAGAAACTGAGGCACAGAGAAGCTCGGTTACCTTGCCCCAGGTCATAAAGCTGGGGAATGTGCAGAGGTGGCCTTGAACCCAGCCTGAGACCCCACAGCCCCAAACTCAGCCCTCCACGTGCCCTTCCTTTCTCCTTTTGACCTAGACTTTGTAAATCAGACAGCTGCCACTCACTTTAAAAAATGGGGTCCTAAATTCTCACGGCCATGCTTTCTCTCAAAGCTTATACAACAACCAAATCACCGACGTCGGAGCCAGGTACATCGCCAGAATCCTGGATGAGTGCACAGGCCTCACGCACCTGAAGTAAGTGGGGTGGGCACAGCGAGCGGGGTCTTCAGTAGCTCCTCTTGGTCACCCTTCATTGTTCAAGCAAAGAATAAATGCCAACCCTAGAGCTGCCTTCCGCTTGCCCCAGGGCCAGATCAGGTCAAATCAGGACACCTGTGTGGAGAAGGCGAGCTGTGGGTGAGGCTCGGTGTTTGGAAGCGCCCCCTGCCATGGGTGCGGGGGGAGTGTGGCATTTTGATTTCATTAACTCCTAACAGGAAGAAAGGCCACAACTATCACCCTTTCTGGAGATCGTTTTCCCCTGAGGAAGTCCCACATCGTCTTCGTCCATTTTGGCTTCTGTAACAAAATACCATAAACGAGGTTGCTTATAAACACCAGACATTTATTTCTGACCGTTCTGGAGGCTGGGGAATCTAGGATCAAGGTGCCAGCAGATTAGGTTCCTGGTGAGGGCCCAATGCCTTGTTCTTAGATGGTGCCTTCTCACTGTGTCCTCACGTGGTGGTGGAAAAAGGGGAAAGGGAGCTTTCTTGGACTTCACTCCTAAGTCACTAATCCCATTTGTGAGGGCTGTGATGAGTGACTTTATCACTTCCCCAAAGTTCCACCTCCTAGCACCATCACTTAGGGGTTAGGATTTCTGGTAGGGGTGGGGAGAGGCAAACCTTTAGGCCATAACATTGCAGATGAGAGCCTGATCCCTGGCTGTGTCACAGGAATGTCCTGCCAAAGGTGTCAGAGCACCAGCCTTGGAGGAGCCTGGTGATGCTGCCCTGGTGATGGTAACCTACCCCTTGACCACTTGCAGTTGAAGTGGGAACCTTCTGGTCTGCTGATAGAAATAAGTGATGCTCAAGAGGTCATTTAAAGAACCTCGGGGGGATCTTGGGTCCCTGAGTCTCTGCAGAGATTGTGACCACCTGGAGAGGAATCCCGACGGCTTTCCTCAGGGCTTCAGGCCCCTCCCTGAGAGGACACCCAGGGATGGCTGCTGTGGGTCCCAGGAGGAAGACCACCCCTCCTAGGAGGGGCCAGAGGGGCTCTGTGCCAAGGACGAGGGTGGCTGATGCTGGAGTCCCCTCACAGCTGTAGCTGACGTGTGCACGACTCTCTTTGCAGACTGGGAAAAAACAAAATAACAAGCGAAGGAGGAAAGTGTCTCGCCCTGGCTGTGAAGAACAGCAAATCCATCTTTGAAGTTGGGTGAGTAGAGACGGATGCACACGGGTGTGCGTATACAGCCTGCTCTGTGTACAGGAGCGCCTGCTGGTCTTTTCGTACATCCATCTAGCCAAAGGACCGCTGGTGCAAGCTGTGGGGCAGAGGCTGCAGAGAGCCTCCATCACAGATGCCCTGGTGGCTGGGCCCCACTGGCTCCTGCATGGGAAATGTTGTGGGAAGTCCCAGGATTAACTGCCACTTCAATCGCATGGACTTTATTTAATTCATGCAAAAAGCAGTATTTATCACCGCCAGCAAATGGAGGGAGCTAGCAAATTAGCCCTATGTGGTAAACGTCCTCAGGCAGGTGTGCTTCATTTTAAGACTATATAGTCTCTGGAGGCTTTTAAAAAATTTTTATTTTATATTGGAGTATAGTTGATTAATAATGTTGTGTTACTTTCAGGTGTAGAGCAAAGTGATTCAGCTATACATGTATCTATTCTTTCTCAAATTCTTTTCCCATTTAGGTTATTACAGCATATTGAGCAGACTTCCTTGTGCTATACAGGAGGTCCTAATTAGTTATCTATTTAAACATAGTAGTGTGTATTTGTCAAACCCACACTCCCAATTTATCCCTCCCCTGCCCCCCACCTTTCTCCTTTGGTAACAGTAAGTTTGTTTTCTAAATCTGTGCGTCTGTTTCTATTTTGTAAATAAGTTCATTTGTATCGTTTTTTTTTTAGATTCCGCATGTGATATCATATGATATTTGTCTTTCTCTGATTTACTTCACTTAGTATGATAATCTTCAGGTCCATCCATGTTGCTGCAAATGGCATTATTTCATCCTTTTTAATGGCTGAGTAATATTCCATTGTATATATGTACCACATCTTTATCCATTCTTCTGTCTTTGGACATTTAGGTTGCTTGCATGTCTTGGCTATTGTAAATAGTGCTGCAGTGAACATTGGGGTGCATGTATCCTTTCGAATTATGGTTTTCTCTGGATATATGCCCAGGAGTGGGGTTGCTGGATCATATGGTAGCTCTGTTTTTAATTTTTTAAGGAACCTGTATACTGTTCTCCATAGCAGCTGTACCAGTTTATATTCCCACCAACAGTGTAGGAGAATTCCCTCTTCTCCACACCTTCTTCATCATTTATTGTTTGTAGACATTTTGATGATGGCCATTCTGACTGGTGTGAAGTGATATCTCATTGCAGTTTTGATTTGCATTTCTCTAATAATTAGTGATGTTGGGCATCTTTTCATGTGCCTCTTGGCCATGATATGATATTGCTTTGGCTGTTGTTTGTCTTCTTTGGAGAAATGTCTGTTTAGGTCTTCTGCCCATTTTTTGATTGAGTTGTCTGTTTTTTTGATATTGAGCTGCATGAGCTGTTTGTAGCTTTTGGAGATTAATCTCTTGTCAGTTGCATCGTTTGTAAATATTTTCTCCCATTCTGTGGGTTATCTTTTTGTTTATAGTTTCCTTTGCTGTGCAAAAGCTTTTGAGTTTAATTAGGTCCCATTTGTTTGTTTTTCCATTACTCTAGGAGATGGGTAGATAAAAAAATATTAATGTGATTTATGTCAAAGAGTGTTCTTCCTATGTTTTCCTCTAAGAGTTTTATAGCACCAGGTCTTACATTTAGGTCTTTAATCCATTTTGAGTTTATTTTTGTGTATGGTGTTTAAAGAATGTTCTAATTTCATTCTTTTACATGTAGCTGTCCAGTTTTCCCAGCACCATTTATTGAAGAGGCTGTCTTTCCCCCATTGTATAGTCATGCCTCCTATGTCGTAGATTAATTGACCATAGGTGCATGGGTTTATTTCTGGGCTTTCTATCCTGGTCCATTGATCTGTGTTTGTTTTTGTGCCAGTACCATACTGTTTTGATGGCTGTAGCTTTGTAGTATAGTCCAAAGTCAGCGAGCCTAATGCCCCAGCTCCGTTTTTCTTAAGATTGCTCTGGCTATTCAGGGTCTTTTGTGTTTCCATACAAATTTTAAGATTTTTTGTTCTAGTTCTGTGAAAAATGCCATTGGTAATTTGATAAGGATTGCACTGAATCTGTAGATTGCCTTGGCTACCCGAGTCGTTTTGACAATATTGATTCTTCCAATCCAAGAACATGGTATATCTTTCCATCTGTTTGTGTCATCTTCAATTTCTTTCATCAGCGTCTTATAGTTTTCAGAGTACAGGTCTTTTGTCTTCTTAGGTAGGTTTATTCCTTGGTATTTTATTCTTTTTGATGTGATGGGAAACGGGATTGTTTCTTGAATTTCTCTTTCTGATCTTTCATTGTTAGTGTACAGAAATGCAACAGATTCCTGTGTATTAATTTTGTAACCTGAAACTTTACCAAATTCATTCATGAGCTCTAGTAGTTTTCTGGTGGCATCCTTAGGATTTTCTATGTATAGTATCATATCATCTGCAAACAGTGACAGTTTAACTTCTTCTTTTCCAATTTGGATTCCTTTTATTTATTTTTTTCTTCTCTGATTGCCATAGCTAGGACTTCCAAAACCATGTTGAATAAAAGTGGTGAGAGTGGACATCCTTGTCTTGTTCCTGATCTTAGAGGAAATGCTTTCAGTTTTTCACCATTGAGAATGATGTTTGCTGTAGTTTTGTCATATATGGCCTTTATTATGTTCAGGTATGTTCCCTCTATGCCCACTTTCTGGAGAGTTTTTATCATAAATTGGTGTTGAATTTTGTCAAAAGCTGTTCCTGCATCTACTGAGATGATCATATGGTTTTTATTCTTCAGTTTGTTGACACGGTGTATCACACTGATTGATTTGCGGATATTGAAAAAGCCTTGCATCCCTGGGATAAATCCCACTTGATCATGGTGTATGATCCTTTTAATGTATTGCTAGTATTTTGTTGAGGATTTTTGCATCTATGTTCATCAGTGATATTGGACTGTAATTTTCTTTTTTGTGTGGTAATTTTGTCTGGTTTTGGTATCAGGGTGATGGTGGCCTCAAAGAAAGAGTTTGGGAGTTTTCCTCCCTCTGCAATTTTTTGGAAGAGTTTGAGAAGGATAAGTGTTAGCTCTTCTCAAAATGTCTGGTAGAATTCTGTGAAGCCACCAGGTCCTGGCCTTTTGTTTGTTGGGAGTTTTAAAAATCACAGTTTCAATTTCAGTGCTTGAGATTGGTCTACTCATATTTTCTATTTCTTCCTGGTTCGGTCTTGGGAGATTGTACCTTTTTCTAAGAATTTGTCCGTTTCTTCCAGGTTGTCCATTTTATTTGCATACAGTTGCTTGTAGTAGTCTCTTATGATCCTTTGTATTTCTGTGGTGTTTGTTGTAACTTCTCCTTTTTCATTTCTAATTTTATTGATTTGAGTCCTTGCCCTTTTCTCTTGATGAGTCTGGCTTAAAGGTTTATCAATTTTTTTTATCTTCTCAAAGAACCAGCTTTTAGTTTCATTGATCTTTGCTACTGTTTTGTTTCTATTTCATTTGCTTCTGCGCTGATCTTTATAATTTCTTTTCTGCTACTAACATAAGGTTTTGTTTGTTCTTCTGTCTCTAGTGCTTTAGGTGTAAGGTTGGGTTGTTTGAGATTTTTCTTGTTTCCTGAGGTAAGATTGTATGGCTATAAACTTCCCTCTTAGAACTGCTTTTGCTGCATTCCATAGGTTTTGGATTGTTGTGCTTTTCATTTGTCTCTTGGTATTTTTTGATTTCCTCTTTGATTTCTTCAGTGATCCACTGGTTGTTTAGCCTCCATGTGTTTGTGTTTTTTACAGTTTTTTTCTTGTAGTTGATTTCTAATGTCATAGCATTGTGGTCAGAAAAGATGCTTGATATGATTTCACTTTTCTTAAATTTACCAAGGCTCGCTTTGTGGCCCAGCATGTGGTCAGTCCTAGAGAATGTTCCATTTGCACTTGAAGAATGTGTATTCTGCTGCTTTGGATGGAATGCTCTATAAATATCAATTAAGTCCAATAGGTCTAATGTGTCATTTAAGGCCTGTGTTTCTTTACTGATTTTCTGTCTGGATGATCTTTCCATTGATGAAAGTGGTGGGGTGTTAAAGTCCTCCACCATTACAGTGTTACTGTTGATTTCTCCCTTTATGGCTGTTAGTATTTGCCTTATAAATTGAGGTGATCCTATGTTGGATGCATATATATTTACAGTTGTTATATCTTCTTGGATTGATCCCGTGATCATTATGTAGTGTCCTTCTTTGTCTTTTTTTTTTTTGCGGTACACGGGCCTCTCACTGCTGTGGCCCCTCCCGTTGCGGAGCACAGGCTCTGGACGTGCAAGCCTAGCGGCCATGGCTCACGGGCCCAGCTGCTCCGCGGCATGTGGGATCTTCCTGGGCCAGGGCACGGACCCGCGTCCACTGCATGCACGAACCTGTGTCCCTTGCATCGGCAGGCAGACTCTCAACCCCTGCATCGGCAGGTGGACTCTCAACCCCTGCGCCACCAGGGAAGCCCCTTTGTCTCTTGTTAATAGTCTTTATTTTAAAGTCTGTTTTGTCTGATATGAGTATTGCTACTCCACTTTTCTTTTGATTTCCATTTGCATAGAATACCTCAGTTTCAGTCTGTGTGTGTCCCTAGGTCTGAAGTGGGCCTGTTGTAGACAGCATATATATGGGTCTTGTTTTTGTATCCATTCAGCCAGTCTGTGTCTTTTGGTTGGAGTATTTAATCCATTTACATTCAAGGTAATTGTCAATATGTATGTTCCTATTGCCATTTTCTTAATCTTTTTTTTTTTTTTTGCGGTATGTGGGCCTCTCACTGTTGTGGCCTCTCCCATTGCAGAGCACAGGCTCCGGACGCGCAGGCCTAGTGGCCATGGCTCACGGGCCTAGCCTCTCTGCAGCATGTGGGATCTTCCTGGACCAGGGCACGGACCCGCATCCACTGCACTGCCAGGGAAGCCCGGGTTTGTTTTCGTAGGTCTTTTTTCTTCCCTTCCTCTTTTGTTCTCTTGTGGTTTGATGGCCATCTTTAGAGTTGTGTTTGGGTTGCTTT